GAAAGCCTTTAAATGGAATATACTTATTTTTAGGAAAAACTAAATCCATTGTCCTTAATGTTGCAATTTCCCCATGGCCCAACACACTCTTCATGACATACCATGAGCCCACAGGTTGACTGGTTGCTACATAACTAGCCACTAGGTAGTTCAGAGTTAGCTGTATTCTGGATGTGCTTCGTATCCCTTTGTCTACCCACCATGGACAATTCACTTCTAGCCGTTTACAGAGCACCTACTCTGACCCAAACATGTAGTAGTCTAGGGTTTGAGGATGCCACAATGATTAAGACACAGCCCAGGCTCTCAAGCAGAGTGACTTAGTTGGGGAAAGAGATGTGCTCCCCCAAGCAAATAAACCCATATTACACTACAGTGTGGTGTCACAAAAAGACTGCCGATCGCTAGGTGTATGGGTGACAGAAAGAAAATAAAAATGTACTCTGTGATGAACATGGAAGTTGAGTGTTGGATAAGGTGACATTTTACTATAACTTTAGAGTCTTTTCCAATCTCTTGTGGCCTGTGTTTCTAAGTAAACATGTTGCTTTTGGATCAGAAGCCAACGTTGTGTGGCCTTGGGGAAGTTACTGAAGTAACTTCAGTCTCAATTCTTGCACTGTAAATCACTTACAGAGTGATTGTGACGATGGTATTGTATAATATTTGTAAAGTTAGTACAGTGGCATATAGCAAGTAAGCTACTAGCATAGCTAGTAGAGCCTGTTTGAACAGCAAAAATAGTCTGTATGATACTATATACCGTAACATCTTACAGAAAAAACCTGAATGAACTTTTTTGGCCAACCCAATATAATGGTAGATACATCTGACAAAATCTGTGGAATGTTCAACATCAAGGTGAACCCTAATGTAAACTATGGACTCTGGATAATAATGATGTATTAGTGTACATTCATCAATTGTAACATCTGTTCCTTTCTCGATAATTGATGGTAGAGCAAAGTTGTGTGTTGGGGGGCAGAGAGTATATGAGAACTCTGCACTTTCTGCTCAGTTTTGCTGTGAACCTAAAACTGCTTTAAAAAATAAATCTCTTTTTTTTTAAAGACAATCCAATTAAAAAATAGACAAAGGATTTGGATAGACAGTTCTCCAAAGAAGATAGGCACATAGACAATAAGGGCATAAAAATATGTTCAACGTTATAAGCCATCATGGAAATGCAAGTCAAAATCACAATAAGATACCACTACACAGCCATTAGGACAAGTGTAACAAAAAAGATAGAGAATAACAAGGGTTGCTAAGAGTGTGGAACAATTAGGACCCCCTACTCTGTTGGTGGGAATGTAAAATGGGGCATCCTCTTTGGAGAAGAATCTGGCATACAATATAGGGTTACCATGTGATCCTGCCATTCTACTCCTAGTTGTAAACCTAAGAGAAATGAATACATACGTCCACACAAAAATTTGTATATGAATGTTAATAACATTATTCATTATAACCAGGAAGTGAAAACAACTCAAGTGTCCATCAACTGATGCATGGATAAACAAAATATAGTATGTCCATACAATGGAACATTATTTGGCAGTAAAAAGTAGTGAAGTACCAATACATGGCATTACATGGATAAACCTTGTAAACATTATGCCAAATGAAAGAAGCAAGTCACAATGGACCATATCTTATATGACTCTATTTATATGAAATGCCCAACATAGACAAATCTACAGAGACAGAAAGTTGATTAGTGCTTGCCTAGGGGTTGCCTAGGGGTTATGGGCAGATTGGAAGTGATAGCTAAGGAGTGTTGGGTTTCTTTTGGGGGTGATGGACATGCTTTAAAATTGATTGTGATGATGGGATGCACAACTCTGGGAATATATTATAGACTAGAATATATATAGAACTATGCACATTAAGTGGGTGAATTATACTATAATAGGACCACTCCTTTCTGAGACTGACCGTATGCCCAGTGGTTAATAGCCAAACGATTATTTGGGCATTAACATTATGTAGCATCTTATATTGGCAATGTGGGTTTACAGTGTTAAGCTCTATTTTTGTTTTTGTTTTTGTTTTTAATTTATTATTTTTGTCTGTGTCGGGTCTTAGTTGCGGCATGCGGGGTCTTCGTTGAGGTGCATGGCCTTCTTTCTCGTTGTGGCCCGCAGGCTCCAGGGCACGTGGGCTCTGTATCTGTGGCACACGGACTTAGTTGCCCGCGGTATGTGGGATCTTAGTTCCCTGACCAGGGATCGAACCCGTGCCCCCTGCATTGGAAGGTGGATTCTTTACCACTGGACCACCAGGGAAGTCCCTGTTAAGACTCTGTTGTTCCTAGTCTCCCAGTCCATTTATAAGATTTGTTGTTGTTGTTGTTTGTTTCCTTTTTATTAAGATACATATACTTAACCTACAATGAAATATACATATCTTAAATGTTTAGTCTGGTGCATTTTGACAATGTATATATTCATGTAAAAACAAGATATAGAACATTTTCATCACCCCAGAAAGTTTCCTCCTACTCCTTTCCAGTCAATCCTCTCCCCTTCCCCTTTCTGATTTCTGTCATTATATGTGAATTTCCTCTATTCTTGAACCTCATATAAATTAAGTCACTCAGTGTATGTTTTTTGTGTCTGGCTTTTCTCACTCAACTTAATGCTTTTGATATTAATCCACGTTGTTTTATGTGTCAGCAGCTCATTCCTTTTTATTGTCAAGTAGTGTTTCATTGTATCTACAATTTACTTATCCATTCTCCTGTTGATGGACAGGTTGTCCCCAGTTTTTGGCTATTATGAATAAGGCTGCAATGAACATTTTGGGCGATATATGTTTTCATTTGTTTTGGGTGGATCCCTAAGAACTGTGGGGACATAGGGTAGATATGTGTATAACTTTATAAGATCTGTCAGACTATTCTCCAACCTGATTTTACCATTTATATTCCTGCCTGCAAAATGAGAGTTCCAGTTGCTCCATATCCTCACCGACATTTGATGCTGTCATTCTTTTTATTTTAGTGATTCTAGTGGGTGTGAAGTGGCATCTCATTGTGATTTTAATTTGCATTTCCATATTAACTAATGAGGTTGAGCTTCTAACGTGCTCATTATATATATATTTTTGTAAAATCTATTCAATTGTTTTCAGTTTTGGGGGGTTGGGACTTCAGCATGACGCTGGCCAGTTTGCAGGGTTCCTGGTTACTTCCCAGAGACAAAATGGCCTAGGAACATGGCTTTTGGAGCTTGATGTCTTGCCTGTTTCACAACTCCACGATTAGAACTCAAAATATAAACTTGCGAATAGACCACAATAGATCCCCGAGATATAAATGGTAATGTAGAATTGGATGTAAATTTAGCCTGGTAGCCATACATTAGCAGTTTTATGTAACATTACTTCAGTTCTTTATGAGAACCTAAAGAAGCACAGGAATTGTTTTTCAGAGAGGCAGTTGAGAGTAATAATTTGGAACTTGAACTCTGGAGTCAGATACTGTAGTTATATTTCTACCTCTGCCATTTACTGTGTCTTCTTTGGGTCTTACTCCTATCTCTGGGCTTCAGTTTCTTCATCAAAAAATAAGGAAGAAAGTAACAGTAACTATACCCCAGACTGTTGTTAAAATTAAAGGAATTAATACAAATGAAGCATTTAAAATAATGCTGAATTCATAGAAAATGCTGTATGAAGGTTAGCTAGTGTTATTATTGATTTTGAGTTGATGGCCTGGCGTGATTAGGTGCTCAAAAGTGTAGATTTTCCTTGGGAAGTAACCAGCCTTTATCTGGATAGCCATTCATTCATTTAGCATCAATCTTAAACAGCTACATAATGTTTAATTCCATTTCTATAAAATTCTCTAAATGGTGACATTGCAGAGGTGGAGAACATACTAATGGTTGCCAGACATTAAGGATTTGGGGTAGGAGGCTATCAGGGGTTAGCATGAGGGAGTCCCTTGGTCATGATGGAACAGTCCTGTGCTTTGAGTGTGGTGGTTACAGAGATCAGTACATGTGATAAAATTGCCTAAAAATACACACACACACACACACACACACACACACACACACACAAATGAGTGCACGTAAAAACTGGTGAAATCTGAATAAAGTCTATAGATTGTACTAATGTCAGTGTCTTTGTCTGATATTGTACTTTTGTTATTTCTGTAAGATGAAACCATTGGGGGAATCTGGGTGAAGAGTACACGGGGACTCTACTGTTTCTTGTTGCTGTTGATTTTTTCAGCAGCTTTGGTGAGATATAGTTCACATACCATACCATTCACTCATATTAAAGCATACCATTCATTGGTTTTTAGTATATTCACAGATATATGCAAGCGTCACCACAGTCAATTTTAGACCATTTTTATCACCTCAAAAAGGAATCTCACACTTTAGTTAACATCCCCAACCCCCTAGATCCCCTCCAGCCCCTGGCAACCACCCAGTCTACTCTGTGTCTGTACATTTCCTTGTTCTGGATATTTCATATGAATGGAATCATATACTATGTGGTCTCTATATTATTTTGCAACTCTCCATGAGTCTATAATTATCACAAGATAAAAAGTTTAAAAATGAATGGCCGTGCTGCTCTGGGACAAGCAGTGTGCTGGGCCCAGTGGACACATGACTAAATGAAGCCATGATCACTGCCCCAAAGAGCCTAGAGGTTAGTGGGAAAGACAGAGAAGTTGAGGGACAATGAGAGCGTGTGTGACAAGTGCTCAGATGGAGGTAAAGTAGGAGCCTGCACAATACCAGGAGGAGTATAGCTTAGATTGGGGTGAGATCAGGCAGAGTTCCCCCAGAGGAATTGGTTAGCAAATTTTTTAAATGCATGACATGTGGAAAGAATCTGGGACCATGTGTGGACTGCAAGCTCCTGGGACATCTGTAGAACTAAACCCTTTCTCAAGACTTTTCCTCCTGTTGGCTGGAGTCTCCTGGCTACAGTGCTTAGTGGCCAGGCAGCCCTCATCTACTGTTTCTTCTCCCCAGTGTCCAACAAGCACCCGTTTGTGGACAGCAATCTTCTCTACCAGTTCAGAATGAACTTCCGGCGGAGGCGAAGACTGATGGAGCTGCTCAATGAAAAATCCCCCTCCTCCCAGGAAACTCATGACAGCCCCTTCTGCCTGAGGAAGCAGAGCCATGACAATCGGAAATCTACCAGTTTTATGTCAGGTATGTCAGTTCCCTTGTTTGTTTGATCATATATATCTGTCTTTTGAGAAATAGCATAGTTGTAACTCACCTTTGTGAAATTCTGTTCTCCAGCAAATTTGTATTTATTTATAACCAAAATTTTATTTATTTATTTATTACCCCCCCCAAAAGAAACCATACACACATACAACCAGATTGTTCCTGTGCAGCCAACATACATGCTAAGAAGTCTGTTTTATAACACTATGTATTTGAATTATAGAAGACCACTCAAGCTCTCACTCCTACCTTATTTACTTTCATTTACAAACAATCCTTACATATCGTTAGTTATCCAGTTTTCTAAGTCACAGCATTGAGAAGCTATATATTTTAAGGACGAATAAAGTCTTCTTAGGGCATATACAACTAAAAGACAACTGATTATCAATCCATCACACAGAACAAGTTAAAACTGTGAAAGGTAGACACGGGTGCTCAGAAAGCACAGCCTGGGACATTATATGTTAGGTCAGACTGTCCCATGTTGACAATTAACCTGGACAGAAATGATGACTGATGTTTGCAAAGATAACCCCATTTAAACAAAATATAAAATAATCCCATTCACCCAGAAAAGGTTAACTTGATGTGTCATTCTGTGTAAGTGGGTGAGGTGCTTAACAGGATATCTTCAACTCCTCTGAAAACTTGACATTGACTTGAGAAACTGATTGGCCTAAGGTTTGGAAGTTATGGGCTTCACCCAAAACCCAGAGCAAAATGAAAATGTGTCTTGGTTATGAATAGGAGCGGACCGTGAGAACACTTACAACTAGATGTATTGAGAACTTTCTGTGCCCTTGGCACAGATCCAAGCTTAGTTGCATACATTTTCTCACTTAATTCTCACTATTACTCTTCGAGGAAAGACTTTTCTTGTCTCCATTTTACAGGTGAAGAAACTGAGGCATGGAGAAGTTGAGTGGCTTACCCAAGGTCACACAGCTAGAAAGTGATGGACAGGGCTGGGTCTTGCACCAGTTCTGTCTTATCCCAGTGCTTATATTATACTGGCTCCTACCCAACCTTCTACATCCCAGGTTCCTCAGACACAGCTGGGATGGAGCAGAGAAGGAGCCAGTAGCCACTCCAGGAAAGTAAACACTAACCAAGGGTCAGAAGCCTAGGCCTGTGCTTAGATGCGCACCAGCTGTGTGTCCCTAAGGCTGCCGTCTCCTGCAGTTGCAGAGGAACCGTTCACGTCTTCGCTGGTACTGAGGTTTGCCTGTTTTTCAGTGGGCCCCGTAGACGTGAACAAGTGATGAGAAGGATACAGTAACCATGGTCACCATAAAAGCCAGCCTTGATTTTGTGCTTCCCATGTGCCGGGCACTGAGCAGAGCACTCTTCATGGTTTCTTTCATTGGATCATATGCCTTGCTGTCTTTCCCTTGTTGAGAGCCAGCCAACTCCATAGTGGAGAAAACGAGATCATATCACTGAAGCTGCTGCCTCACATACACCTTCAAAGCCTGAAGTTGTGCTCTGTGTTTTAATCTCCTTCTGTGGCTCTGGGTGATTAAAGATTTAATCTTCAACCAGGAGGCACTTATCATCACTGTTAACTCATTAAGCGTCTCGCCAGCACTTAATTTACATCCTCTCAGGGATGCTTAGCGTGGACTCGGTAGTTCTTAAAATAATATTTTACGTAACTGAGTACTTTTAAATATATAATCCACTCCTTGCACCAGTCCCGTGAGATGGCATTCTGCCCACTTTACAGTTGGGGAAACTGTACATTTAGAAAACCGGAGGGAATGGCCCCAGGCTGTGCTATTCGTCAGGGGCAGAGCTGCCACTCAAACCCTTGCTTTTTCGACGCCAAGGCCAGAGTGCTTTATTCCGGCACACGTGACCTGCCTCACTGTACCTGGCAGCTGAAAGCCAGCGTGCATGCTCTGGGGAGCCGAGACCATCACCGTCGGTGACTCTGTGTGTTCCCGGCCCACAGTCAGCCCCAGCAAGGAGGTCAAGATCGTGTCTGCCATGCGGAGAAGCAGCATGAGCAGCTGCGGCGGCAGCGGCTACTTCAGCGGCAGCCCCCCCGCCAGCGGCAGCCCCCCCGTGCTCTGCAACCCCAAGTCTGGTGAGTGGCTGACAAGCGGCCCCGTCTCTGACCGTGACTGTGGGGGACCCGGGCCTGTGTGCAGGTGGGGCTCCCCGGGAAGCGGATTCTCAGGCAGAGGGAGACTAGCATGGGAGTATCTTGTTACATTGTGCTCTTGGGGGACAGCACCCCTTGGATGCAAGGGAAGGACGTGGGTTTGGGCCGAGGGAGAATTGGGCTGGAGTGCAGTCCCCGTGAAGGCTGCGGCTCGCCCCAGGTGGAGCTCTGGAGTTGGGATGGTCTTTGAGAGTTGTCCCGATTTGGGGTGAGGTGGCCAGGCTTTTATACCCTCACCTTGATCAGTCATTGGATGTTGGCTGCCCCTGGGAGGAAGACGTGACCTGGGGAAAGCGGCTGTCTTTGGAGAGAGAGTTCCAAGGACAGTTGAGAACACTGGCTGTCTGAGGGCTGTCTGCTGTTAGCAGTCCCAGCACTGGGAGGAAACACTCAGTCCTGAAGGAAGGTTTGAGCAGCAAACAGCAGGGGAGATAGCGCTGCCCCAGACTGCAAGTGATGCAAAGATCTGTTGGGTCTCCGCACCCCTAAGGAAGAAGCTTGGATCTCTGCAAACCTAGCCACCCCTGCAGTGGACTCTTGGTGCCTTGGGGTTTCAAACTTTACTCATCAACCTCCATGGCTTTTACATTCCACAAAAAAAAACCTAGGCACAAAGATTGTTAATGAACTTGTACTTAGATCTAATCAGTTCTTCAAGCCCCACAGGAACCTGTAACCCATCGATACCACCACCTTCTCACTGTGCTCACCCACCTCCTTTCCAGGATTAGCTTGCCTGGTCCATCGTGATAACCATGGCCTTGAAAACACCTTCCGCTCCATTTGTTTAGTGCCCTGTCCACCCTCAGTTCCGTGTATCACCTTCAGGGAAGGCACTTTGTTCCTTTGTTCATGCCGTTTCCTTATTACCAGATGTTGGGGATACAAAGATGAGAGGTCATGACCCCATCCCTCAGTGAGCACATCATCTCTTTGAGGAAAAAAAAAAAATGCACTCATGAGAATAAGGACAAATAGATGTTGTTAAAGGGCTTTAAGAGAAAACAGTCATCTAATGCTGTTGTCTAGGTATTTTTCTTCATCTAACTTTTTTTTTCTTTTTTTCTTCTTTTTTTGCTGTCTTTTGGAGGGTTAGCTCTAAGAATAAAGTTGTAACCTGCAAGTGAATGAAGAAACTTGCTTCCACACTGTCTCTGGCTGGAAAATCTTCCAGCACCCATATATTACCAGGTTTTTCAATTAATAGAGCACTGCTGATAAGGTAGAATGAGAAGAACTATATTGTTTGATGTAGCATGTTTGAAGCCCTGGTAGAAATCTGATACCTCCAAGTTAGAATCAAAAGCGTTCAATTTCAGGAAAGGGTTAATTGTGCTCAAGCCATTTTACATGTTTTTGATCGCTTACCAGAGTAGAAGAAGGAACAAAGTGTTAATTGCTTAAATTACACATTCATCTTCCCTGAGGTAGGTTTGCATTGTTTCCTCTTTCTCCTTAGGCCCTTGACTCAAAGGGAAAATATTACTGATATGCAGGCATTAAAGAAAGGTCAGGTTGCCTTTTTTGGGTCTCTAAGGACCAAAGCTGTCAGGTCTTCATTGTGGTTCCTAAGTCCTACGTCTTACCTGTATTCTGACAAGCTTCTCTTTTACTCTAAGAGTGTTCCCAAGATGCAGGGAGCTCATCTGTGATTTTTTTTCTCTCAAGCAGGTAAGCAGGCTTCACAGTAAGGCATTTAAAATTAATCATTAGATATCCATCAGGATATATTTTTTAACACTGTATATAAATGCCCTAATTCAGATAAAGAAAGTGCTACAGAAAGTAACATAATCAGTATCATTGTGATGAGTAAATAAGTTGCCAAGGATATGAAAAGAGTAAGCTAGAAATAATTCCCTAGGTTTCAAAGTTTCTACATTTTTTAACATAAGAGAGAAAGTGTATTAAATGATCAGTATTGTTGCCAAATATTACAATATAGTGTGATTCAAAACCACAATGAGATATTACCTCATCCCTGTCAGAATGGCTATCATCAAAAAGAACACACATAACAAATGCTGGAGAGGGTGTGGAGAAAAGGGAACCCTCTTGCACCATTGACAGGAATGTAAATTGGTGTAGCCACTATGGGAAACAGTATGGAGCTTCCTTAAAAAAGAATTAAAAGTAGAACTACCATGTGATCCAGCAATTTCACTTCTGAGTATTTATCGAAAGGAAATGAAAACACTAATTTGAAAAGCTCTCTGTACCCCCATGTTTATTGCAGCATTATTTATAATAGCCAAGACATGGAAACAACCTAAGTGCCCATCAATGGATGAATGGATAAAGGAAATATCACACACACACACACACACACATACATATACACACGTACACAACGGAGTATTATTCAGCCATAAAAATGAAGGAAATCCTGCCATTTGCAACAAAATGAATGAACTTTGAGGGCATTGTGCTAAGTGAAGTAAGTCAGGCAAAGAACGACAAATGTTATATGATCTCACTTGTATGTGGAATCTAACAAAAAACTCATATATACAGAGAACAAATTGGTGATTGGCAGAGGGGGGTTGGTCGGTGGGCAGGGATTGGTGGTTGGGTGGACCAGATGGGTGAAAGGGGTCAAAAGGTACAAATTTCCAGTTTATAGGTAAGTCCTGGGGAATGTAATGTACAGCAAGGTGACTATGGTTAATGATACTGGGTTGTATATTTGAAAGTTGCTAAGAGAGTAGATCTTAAAAGCTCTCATTTCAAGAAAAAGAAAAGTTTGTAGCCATGTGAGGTGATGATGTCAACTGGAGTAGTTGATCATTTCATAATATATGCACCATTATGTTGTAACCTGAAACTAATATAATGTTATATGTCAATTATATCTCAATAAAAATAGGGAAAAAGTGTAATAAAAATAAATGGTCGATATTGTCAAATACCACAAGTACAGTGTGATTCCTACATCCACGTTTATAAACCCCAGAGGGGATTGTGTGGGTAGGGGCCTGGAGGCAGTTGAGTGACAGGGAATAAAAAGGTCAGAATCCTCAACCATGGACCCCTTCTCTTTGCATTGGCAGGCGGACTCTCAACCACTGCGCCACCAGGGAAGCCCGAGTTTAAATCTTAATTCTGCTTCCCGTTGACTCTGAGGCCTTGGACGCAAGCTATTTAACTTTTCTCAGCTTCTGTTTCCTCCCAAATAGAATAGGGATAAGGATGAAATGAACCCATTAGTTCTTGTGATGATTAAATAATAGAATATCTTTAAAGCACCTAACATAGTACCTAGCACATGTTAATTATGCAGAAGAGCTCCCCAGTGTTACGATTCAAGGCAAAAGGCAGTGCGTACCCGCAATCTGGGGTATTAATAAGGAAATCCGTGAGGCTTTGGTGAATGGGGTGTGTATGGTATGATGGGGGAGGGGTTTGTATGGGGTGGAAACGGTTATCAGACGGCCAGAGTCAGGATTTCTCTCTCTCTTTTTTTTTTTTAACATCTTTAAGGATTTCTTTTAATTTTGACATGTTGAATGCACATCAAGGTCTAAGAGAAAGAAATTCAGGAACTAGAAAATGTGGTCTTTTCCTTTATAGAAAAATGTCAAGCCACTCCTTACCCCACCCCTGGCACTCTTGCTTCCCCTCCCCCTGCTCCCGTCTCTGCTTTCTGTAGCCCTGTAAGTTAGGTTTAGGGTTATTTATGTTTGCTAATATTTTCTGCCTCTGTGCAGCTAGAATATAAACTGGGAGGCAGGGATCTTTGCCACTTTTGGTCACTGATGTCACACATGAGGCATTCAGAAAATATCTGCTGAATGAAAGAACAGAGGGCTCAGAAGGGTCTGTACCTTGACACTGTGTCTGTCTTACAGTGTTAAAAAGACCCGTCACTTCTGAGGAACTCCTGACTCCCGGGGCTCCGTATGCGAGGAAGACATTCACGGTAGGCTCATCATTTGGTTTTTCTCCCATGCTGCTCGTTTGTCTGGGCCGTGTCAACATGGCAGTGTGTCCATATGTAGCTTAGGGACGGAATTGAAAAGCTTCTCCGAATTTCCCTTTTGTTTTGAGCATGATTATAATAGTAGACTTTCTTGACCTTTAGGCACTAAAATGCATTAGGACTTGATATAATTCATTATTAATACAGCATTTAAAATTCCTTTTGATGTGTCCTTCAAAAAAAGATTTCCATTATGTACTTATTCTAATATAATGACAGATTCAAAGGCAGATGGTAGAACAAATAATGCTAATGATCCCTGCTGCATTATAGTTAATTCTAAAAATTATTTAAGACATGAGGGAAGTCTTACGATAGAGAGAGAAAACTATGGCATAGATTGTTCTACCATAAGGAATGACGTTTTTGACAATGTTATCGTGCCTTGAGTTATATAAGCACCTGATTTGGGCGCACTGCACAACTGTGAGCACCTCCTGACCACCTGCCCTTTCTTGGAGGTCCTTCAGCCTTCCTTCTACTCCTAGGGTCCCACTGGTATTCTTTTCTTTTCTTTTTTTTTGGCCACACCCTGAGGCATGTGGAACTTCCCTGACCGGGGATCGGACCCATGCCTCCTGCAGTGGAAGTACGGCGTCTAAACCGCTGGACCACTAGGGAAGTCCCCCACTGGTCTTCTTCAAACAGAATCCACGTTCTCTGCTTGACATCACCTCACCCACTTCCTGTCGACTTGACTCTGTCTCTTTGTCTTCTCACATCTACATTGACGTCTTCTTTAAAATACTTGTCATCTTTCCTGTAGTCTTCTAATTTTTGTTTTAATACCCCAGGGTGGGGAAAAAGCTTTCCACGCTCATTTGTGCTAGGAACATTTGTCGAGGACTACTTCACGTTCTGAGCATTAAGGAATTAAAACAGGATGGGTCCAGTCCTAGCCAGTCAATATGAAAAAAGCACTGTTAATATGTCTGTATCAGGGAAAAGGTAAACTGGACATTTGAAAGTGCAGTTAGGTATAATGAACTAAGAGCAGCAAACCCTAAAGCCAATGAAGTACCTAATAAAGAACTTCTCAGACAGGCAAAAACTAGTAAGAGTTCATCGACACTAAAACCTGCCCTAAAAGTCTTTTTCAGAATGGTCACAAAAATTTCAGTTGCTTCCCTACTTTTCCTCAGTCTCCAGCATTCAAGAGACATTGGATTGTATTTTTTAGCTGTATTTCTTTTCGGTTTTAAATATCAATGCCAGCATTGCTAGTAATTGACTGTGAATGGCTGTCGTCTCTATTTCAGTTGGGGTATGTATTAGAGACATGTCTGGGAGCTGCCCAGAGAATGTAACTGGCAATTCTAATTATGATTCTATAAGGAAAGTCACCCTCCAGTTTCAAACAACTTTTGGACCAGAGTGAACTGGTCAACTGGAAGTGAACTGGACCAAAGTGAACTTTATGTACTTTTTCACTGTCTTTTCTTGGTACAGAAAATCGGGTTTCAAGAGAGCCAAGACTCTTCATGGTTTCCCCCATTAGTAATTTAAATGGTTACTTTAAACTTCAATGATTGTAAAGCAGATATACTCAAATAAAAAAAAAAAGTTCAGTGACGTATCAAGATCATCAGGAAAGAATCCTTTGGATGCAGGGGAAGAGAAATTGGATCTGGAGGGAAATTTCAACCATATTTTTATATGACTTCCCATTTGAGTCTGATATTCAACTGCATAGCAGCCTAAGAAAGAGGCCATCTGCCAGTTATTGACTGAGTAGTGACCTCACAGAAGAAGCTCCTTTCTGCCAAACAGGTGTTTCTTGACCATGTTTTCCGCACAGAGATATAAGCCTGTGTTTGTGATAGAAGAGTCCCGTTCCCCTGACAGGGTAGAGATGAAGTGGAGAAGAGGTATATCTCATGGCATGCCTTTCGTCTTGGCTTTTCTCTGTCTTGGAAGGGCGGGCACACTGCCAGGGACCGTCTGCTGGTGGCTAATTGTGGTTTTCCTCTCTAGGTTGTTGGTGACGCAGTAGGCTGGGGCTTTGTGGTGCGCGGCAGTAAGCCATGCCACATCCAGGCCGTGGATCCCAGTGGCCCAGCAGCCGCTGCAGGAATGAAGGTACCTCCAGTACAGCAGTGTCTGAATACTTCACGCTGTATTTCGTTGTTTGCTGCCATCTGTACTTTCTCTCCCTGCGTGTTTTGGTCCCATTTTTGTCATTTCCTTTTCGCTTTCTGAATGGGGGTGAAATGAAGCCAAGAGCGTATGAGGTAGCCACTAAAAGGATAAGTTTTTCTATCGCTTGGACTATTGCCTTCTTGGTTTCCAAACCTCCCTCGGTATTTTACATTTCTCTCCTGAACCAATACTGAATTTGAAAAAAAGTTTCTTTTTGCTTAAATCTTATACAGTAATTCTACTGCTTTTGTTCAAAGTATATACTTGTGGCGTTTAAGCAGCCAAGACACAAGAAACAGTAAATAGTGAGAAAAAGAGAACAAAAGTCGTGGAGTTTGGAAGAGGAGATCTGGATTCTTTTATTGGTTTTTACTACTTACTAGCTCTTTGAACAAGTTCTGTAACATCTCAGAGCCTGTTTCCTCCTCTCTGAAATGATAATCATATTTCTTTCTGCTGTTTTATGGATTAAATATGTCGAAACGCTTGATAAAGTACAAAGAACTACACAAACATCAAGAAACTGAGTGAATTGTGTAAGATTTTTGAAAATAATTTTTATACATTTTTAGTATTAAAGTAATGAATATAAAGTCAAGAAAATTTGGAAAATACACACAGGCAGAAAAAAAATGATAACTGCCTATAATCTTTCCTAGCTTAGAGATAACCACTCTTTACATTTTTAAGCAGCTCTTTTGAAGTATAATTGACATACATTGAAGTGTATCACTGTTAACATTTTGATTTATATTCTTCCAGACTTCTATGTATGTGTATATATATATATATATATACACACACATACATACACATAAGTACATATATACACATTGTTTTTATTTGTAAAGAAATATGGTATAAGAGGATATTGAGAGCACTGGTTTTCTGCTTCAAAACACCTTTATCTAGCACAGTTTTGTTCTGTCATCTGTAAAATATTTCACAGAGGGTATTTATCTCTTGATTATCTGGGACCATGGGAGGATGCAGGAGACTTGAAAGCCACAGATTATTCCCCCTTTTATTTCTTCAGTGTTTTCACCCTCTCCCCTCAGTCCTTTTCCTAGAGCAGTAAACCAGTGAAGCAATGGCATGGTTTGGATCTCCACAGCTCTGGTTTCCAGCACTTACCTTCTGGCAATGGTTTACCTACTAGAAAAGAGAGGTGGGAAGCCGAGACCAGCTCAAGGGAGCACAGAGCAGAGATTATGGCCAGTCCAGGTAACCGATGCTGGTAGGATTCAGGATTGACTCTGCCCCCTGCTTTGAACACCTCCTTCACACAGGGAGGCACAGGCTTCCTGTGTCTTGTGCTCTGGGTAGGTTACAGAAGCCTCGTTGGCTAAGTCCATCTGTATTAGAGGCCCTTCCTACATCCTCAGTATTGCAGTGGGCACAGCCCCAAAGAAACCCAGAGCAGGAAAGTTGGCCAGGAGCATTTGTATCTGCGCTGAGGCCGAATTTTTCATTTTCTAATGGAACTCTTGGCTGTGGGAAGAGTTTTATATTTTATTCCCACAGTAAAGTACCTCAGTATAAATTATTTCTGGCAGCGTGCTTTGGTTCTGAGCGTGCACTCACTCGCATGGGGCTTGAAGCATACTTCCTTTGGGGAAAACAGTGGATTTACATGGCAGCTAAAGACGTTGTTTTGCTTAGCCAGGTGTCTTTCATTGATTCTAGTCCATCTTTATTGATTAACATGCATAATTGTTCTAGACATTGTCAGTTGATTTCTTAATTAACTTCTGAATGTACATACCCTGATGGATGGGTAACCTGATACACTTTTGTCAATTTCAGAAGCTAACACTTCATACGGTTTATATTCTTAGTTTTTCAGGGGGTTGTACAATGGTTTTCATATGTTATAGGGCAGTACAGCATTCAGTAGAACAGCGTTTCCAAAACTGTATTATACAGCTCTCTGGTCCAGCAAAATATCCTGTCCTGAGGTTCTGTGATCAAAACAGTTTTCAACTGCTGCACAGTTTATTCCCCTCTTGGAAATCTACAAAAAGCACATTAGCATACTAAAAATGCTGGGAAATCCATCTGGGGGAAAAAAATCTGTTTAAATTATCTAACACAACATTTATCACTGAAATGAAATCTTAAAATATAGCCCTGTTCTAAAAACCTGCTTTTGATGAAATTCTATATTAGAATGACTGTATTGAGATATTTTTGAATTGTACTATTGGTTAAATGAAAATGACAGGGAGTAACGTGCTCTTCCATGTAATCTACTTGTGTATGTTCATTTAAATCCATTACTTTGTTATAGAAAACACTGAATGAATTATTTCGTATATTTACCATATGTATTTGTTACAGAATAACTTATATAAAAAGCCCTTTGTATAACCCAGGGGTCCCCAACCCCCGGGCCGCAGACCGGTACTGGTCCGTGGCCTCTTAGGAACCGGGCCACACGGCAGAAGGTGAGCGGCGGGTGAGTACGCGAAGCTTCATCTGCCGCTCCCCGCCGCTCCCCATCGCTGGTGTTAACACCCCTGCCCCAGTCCAGGGAAAAATTGTCTTCCACGAAACCAGTCCCTGGCGCCAAGAAAGTCAGGGACCGCTGGTATAACCCAATCCTGGAGGATTGTTAACACCAACCTGCCACATCGCTGCTGCTCTTGAACTTCAGGGCAGCGTGTCTGGTTGTGTGCAGCTCAGCTGGGGGGAAGGGGGTGCGCAGCAGGGGTGACCGTACAAGAGCCTGTCCTGGGGAAGGATCTGGTGACCTGGGCAGTGACCAACCTGCTTGGTCTGGGTCGTAGAAATTGCCCATCTGGTCAGAAGCCTCCTTTCAGCACCTCTGACTGGCAAGAGCTGACCTAGGACAGTGAAAAGTGTCCCACTTTGCCTTCCATGGCAGTGTCTACACAGAAGACCAGGCTCACGTCTCAGGTCTCAGCCCTCGTTTTCTCCTACTTTCCAATGTAGACAAAGCTTTACATCTGGGCCTTTGTGACCTTTCCATCCAGCGGAATTTTTCTACTTTTACTGTGGCTGCTTAATTTCACTGCTTTCCTTGCCAAAACAGAAATCGTTTTGTAACTAGTTTCTGTATGTTTACCATTTCTCGCTTTTAAAAAATTTTTTGAATTCTAATTTTTAATTAATTAATTTATATATATTTTTTTCTTTCTGCAGTACGCGGGCCCCTCACTGCTGTGGCCTCTCCCGCTGCAGAGCACAGGCTCTGGACACGCAAGCTCAGCAGCCATGGCTCACGGGCCCAGCCTCTCTGCAGCATGTGGGATCTTCCCAGACTGGGGCATGAACCCACGTCCCCTGCATTGGCAGGCGGACTTTCAACCACTGCGCCACCAGGGAAGCCCCTATTTTATTTACTTTTTTATATAGCAGGTTCTTATTAGTTATCCATTTTATACATATTAGTGTATATATGTCAATCCCAGTCTCCCAATTCATTCCACCACCAACAGCCCCCCCCCCGCCCCCCCGCCGCTTTCCCCCCTTGGTGTCCGTATGTTTGTTCTCTACATCTGTGTCTCTATATCTGCCCTGCAAACAGGTTCATCTGTACCGTTTTTCTAGGTTCCACATATATGTGTTAATATACTATATTTGTTTTTCTCTTTCTGACTTACTTCACTCTGTATGACAGTCCCTAGATCCATCCACATCTCTACAAATGACCCAGTTTCATTCCTTTTTGTGGCTGAGTAATATTCCATTGTATATATGTACCACACCTTCTTTATCCATTCATCTGTCGATGGGCATTTAGGTTGCTTCCATGACCTGGCTATTATAAATAGTGCTGTAATGAACATTGGGGTGCATGTGTCTTTTTGAATTATGGTTTTCTCTGGGTATATGCCCAGTAGTGGGATTACTGGGTCATGTGGTAATTCTATTTTTAGTTTTTTAAGGAACCTCCATACTGTTCTCCATAGTGGCTGTATCAATTCACATTCCCACCAACAGTGCAAGAGGGTTCCCTTTTCTCCACACCCTCTTCAGCATTTATTCAGCATTTAAACAAAAGTCCAGACTTTGTTGGAAGATTTTTAATCACAGTTTCAATTTCATTACTTGTGATTGGTCTGTTCATATTTTCTATTTCTTCCTGGTTCAGCCTTGGAAGTTTATACCTTTCTAAGAATTTGTCCATTTCTCCTAGGTTGTCCATTTTATTGGCTTAAGGTTGCTTGTAGTAGTCCCTTATGATGTTTTGTATTTCTGTGGTCCATTGTAACTTCTCCTTTTTCATTTCTGACTTTATTGATTTGAGTCCTTTCCCTCTTTTTCTTGATGAGTCTGGCTAAAGGTTTATCAATTTTATTTTTTGTCTCAAAGAACCAGCTTTTAGTTTTATTGATCTTTGCTATTGTTTTCTTTGTTGCTATCTCATTTATTTCTGCTCTGATCTTTATGATTTCTTTTCTTCTACTAACTTTGGGTTTTCTTTGTTCTTCTTTTTCTAGTTCCTTTAGGTGTAAGGTTAGATTGTTTATTTGAGATTTTTCTTGTTTCTTGAGGTAGGCTTGTATAGCTATAAACTTCCCTCTTAGAACTGCTTTTGCTGCATCCCTTAGGTTTTGGATCATTGTGTTTTTGTTGTCATTTGTCTCTAGGTATTTTTTGATTTCTTCAGCAATCTCTTGGTTATTTAGTAACGTATTCTTTAGCCTCCATGTGTTTGTGTTTTTTACATTTTTTTCCCTGTAATTGATTTCTAATCTCATAGCACTGTGGTCAGAAAAGATGCTTGATATGATTTCAATTTTCTTAAATTTACCGAGGCTTGATTTGTGACCCAAGATGTGATCTATCCTGGAGAATGTCCCATGTGCACTTGAGAAGAAAGTTTAATCTGCTGTTTTTGGATGGAATGTCCTATAAATGTCAATTTAATCTATCTGGTCTATTGTGTCATTTAAGGCTTGTGTTTCCTTATCAATTTTCTGTCTGGATGATCTGTCCATTGGTGTAAGTGAGGTGTTAAAGTCCCTCAGTCTTACTGTGTTACTGTCAATTTCCTCTTTTATAGCTGTTAGCAGTTACCTTATGTATTGAGGTGCTCCTATGTTGGGTGCATATATATTTATAATTCTTATATCTTCTTCTTGGATTGATCCCTTGATCATTATGTAGTGTCCTTCCTTGTCTCTTGTAACATTCTTTATTTTAAAGTCTAGTTTATCTGATATGAGTATTGTTACTGCAGCTTTCTTTTGATTTCCATTTGCATGGAATATCTTTTTCCATCCCCTCACTTTCAGTCTGTATGTGTCCCAAGGTCTGAAGTGGGTCTCTTGTAGACAGCATATATTTGGTCTTCTTTTTGTATCCATTCAGCTAACCTGTGTCTTTTGGTTGGGGCATCTAATACATTCACGTTTAGGGTAATTATTGATATGTATGTTCCTATTACCATTTTCTTAATTGTTAATGTGTTTGTATTTTTAGGTCCTTTTCTTCTCTTGTGTTTCCCACTTAGAGAAGTTCCTTTAGCATTTGTTGTAGAGCTGGTTTGGTGGTGCTGAATTCTCTTAGCTTTTGCTTGTCTGTAAAGCTTTTGATTTTTCCATCGCATCTGATTGAGATCCTTGCTGGGTAGAGTAATCTTGGTTGTAGGCTTTTCCCTTTCATCCCTTTAAATACATCGTGCCACTCCCTTCTGGCTTGTAGAGTTCCTGCTGAGAAATCAGCTGTTAACCTTATGGGAGTTCCCTTGTATGTTATTTGTCATTTTTCCCTTGTTGCTTTCAATAATTTTTCTTTGTCTTTAATTTTTGTCAAATTGATTGCTATGTGTCTTGGCATGTTTATCCTGCCTGGGATTCTCTGTGCTTCCTGGACTTGGGTGGCTATTTCTTTTCCCACGTTAGGGAAGTTTTCGACTCTAATCTCTTCACATATTTTCTCGGGTCCTTTCTCTCTCTTCTCCTTCTGGGACCCCTATAATGTGAATGTTGGTGCCTTTAATGTTGTCCCAGAGGTCTCTTGGGCTGTCTTCATTTCTTTTCATTCTTTTTTCTTTATTCTGTTCCACGGCAGTGAATTCCACCATTCTGTCTCCCAGGTCACTTATCCGTTCTTCTGCCTCAGTTATTCTGCTATTGGTTCCTTCTAGTGTATTTTTCATTTCAGTTATTATATTGTTCATCTCTGTTTGTTTATCCTTTAATTCTTCTAGGTCTTTGTTAAGCATTTCTTGCATCTTCTTGATCTTTGCCTCCATTCTTTTAACAAGGTCCTTGATCATCTTCACTATCATTATTCTGAATTCTTTTTCTGGAAGGTTGTCTATCTCCACTTCTTTTAGTTGTTTTTCTGGGGGTTTATCTTGTTCCTTCATCTGGTACATAGTCCTCTGCCTTTTCATCTTGTCTATCTTTCTGTGAATGTGGTTTTCCTTCCACAGGCTGCAGAATTGTAGTTCTTCTGCTTCTGCTGTCTGCCTCTGGTGGATGAGGCTGTCTAAGAGGCTTGTCCCATTTCTCGCTTTTATTTTACCGTTTAATGAGGTTTGGAAATTTTTAATAAGTGGGCCACCAGTGTGTGGACAGGTCAGGCCCCAGAGTGAAGAGATTGAGTTTCATATTCCCCTCCTAACACTTCTCGACCTTTCCAGACCCAGAGAAGAGCTCTTTGCCTGGTTTAAAGGGAACCCTTCCCCCATGATGAGGGGAGACTGTCACACCTGTATTAAAATTTCCTTCTCTAGAAGTTCTGGAAGAACTCCAGAGAAAATGTGTCCTTAGGGAGAGTGATAAGATCCACCTAACTCCTTTTCTGGATGGGATGGAGAAGTCTGTGATCTAGCCCCAATTCCCAGAACTCTTCGTACTCACAACCTCCTCGTAGCTGACCCAGGCGGCTGGGGGTGGGTCAGGCAGCTAAGTTGCAGGAGAGGATTGCTGAGATGTAGGCCAGGGAAGGTTCCACCTTGACTTCGGTTGTAAACGGAATTGAGTTTTAAGTGTTTTGGTCAAAAGACTTTTGCATCATCTCCAGCTGGTTTGAAAATTTTATTTTTACTCTAGTCCATTTCCCTTCTTCCCTTCCAATTACCTTCTCCTCCTCATGCAGTGATAGCGTATTTGTCCCCAGAGACCAAAAAGGGAACAGATGTTACCAGAGGCCCCAAACTATAATCTTACTTTTCACTTTTGTCTCAATCGAGATGAACATAAAAAAGAGAACAATTAATTACACCTTTGCTGGTAAGTTTCTATATTATTTCATATTCCTCTCCACCCCCTTACGGCCTAGGGAACAACAGCAGTAGTATCATTAGAATTCTCACTTGATCCACCATTTCTTAATTTGGAGTTATTTTTATTTTGAAGGTTCTTTTACCTAAAAAATGAAATCTGTAAACCTCTGGCTTAGAAGACCTTTCCTTGGCATTGCAACTCTAGAATGGAACATGAAATACAGG